ATTGGCGCATGAATAGACTTCGCTTCCGGAATGTATACTTTTCAATTTAAATGATGACAGTGAAATATCATGTTATTATTAAATAATCAAACTCACTGACCATATCACCCTAAACTCAAGCCTGTCTGTTTGTGTGTAGGACTGTTAAGGTGTGAATAGACGAAAAAGCATTATTGTTAATGGTTCGTAAATTGGACCTCAAGATTGCTGAACAAGAGCTTGACCAATTGACTATTTCCTGTAAAATACATTCTCTAGCTCTAGATAACAGGAGATAATGGGTATAATTATGAAATGAAATGGTTAGTCGATGACATCAGAAACCATCCCGGGGCAATACTGATGACTAAAAAGTTCCCTGTAGTGGTAAGCTCGGACGACCCCGCTGTATGGGGAGCAAAACCCTTATCACATGATTTTTACATGGCTTTTATGGGTATGTGTGGTGCCGATGAAGGAATCGCCATATTAAAACAGTTAGCATACAACTCCATACAGTAAGTATTGCGGTTATGTTCCTATTATCTGAAAATATGTTACAAAACGTGTTCCTTAAAAGCAATCTGGAGAGGTTGATTGTATTTGTTACAGGGACACGGTTGTCAAAACATTTGCTTTATCATCTGATAGATCAGACCAAGAATCTCATGAAATGTCTATGGGTGATGCCATTTTGAATAAACTGCGGTGTTATGATTAACCGTTGGTAAAATGTCAGTGAAATGTCCTACTTGTCTACACCTGTTTTAGCTATCAAGCTAATCTATCTAATTGACACTTGATCGATATGAGGACCAGTGTTTATGAAATACAATAATGCGGAAATATGAAATCCACATTCCAATGGTAAATTCGAAAATGCAGTCGCCGACAAAATCTCAACTCAAAAGTAAAATTTATAAAAAAAAATCATTTTATTCACGTTGAAACTCGTTACAGTGGGATAGCTAAACATTTGCTGTCAAATGACATACGATAGATGTTGAAAAATGATTTATTAATTGTTTCGTTTCTTCGGGTGTGCTTTTCAATTCAAGAATATCAAGTCTAAAATGTTTTGTCGGAGTGTCGGAGGAACCATGGCACCGCTTATTTTATCACTACGTGAGCGCGATCTTATCTCAAATACAGGCCACATGGAAGTCATACGAGAAAAAATCGTCTGTACAGGAAACGACTATTTAGACGCTTATACTTCCGCATCTAAATATCATCATAATTCCCAAAAATTGACAGAGCTGAGGATTGTGTCCCTTTGCCCAATTTTTTCCCGAACGACATGGACCAACTCCATTAATTCAAATAGGATCTCTTTCTAAATTAATTCAGAAATCTCGTTGGAAACTTTCTA